TGTGTGTGTGTGTGTGTGTGTGTGTGTGTGTATTCACTCACTGTGTTCTGCATGGCGTGTGTGATCGTAGAGAAGACGCTCCTGCCAGAAGCTGCAGCACTAACAGGTGTCTCCCCACAACTGGACAGCTCAGTTTCTGCACTTTCACCTCCTCTCACTTTCTTCTCCTCCTCGCCTCCCTCCTCCTCCTCCTTCTCCTCCTCCTCTTCTTCTTCTTGCGCCTCCTCTCCCACCGAGGTCCTCTGGAGACGCAGCGCTTCTCCTGCCTTGGTTTTAACCGAGGTCAGGCTCTGACCTGCACACAGACACAGCAGGTGAAGACTTCAGGGGGGAGAGTGTGTGAAGTGTAACGAAGGATGAGGAACTAAATACAGAAAACTTACCCATGGTGGAGGAGGCGCTGCTCAGGAGGGATTTTCCCCATGAACTCCAACCTCCCCAGCCTTTCTCTTTCTCCTGAGGGGACCTCTGTACACACAAACACACACACGCGAACACACACACACACATTACAGTAATAGTTAGAAACGTTTTTTCTGCATTATTTTTTAGAACTGAGATACAGGAGTTAAGTTAATACTTGTGTTTATTAGCCTCAAAGGTTGAAGTCAATTCATGCTGCAAATAACTATCTACTAAATAATTATCATTGTCAGAAAAATAGGGACACAGCACCGGGTGACATCTTGTTTATTTCAATAATCAGCAGTCCAAAATCTAAAGATACTAAACTCTTACTATTACATAATAAGACAAATAAACTGAGACACTAAAACAAGTTAGGTCAAACTCATCTAGAGAGCACATTGGAGCACATTGAAAACAACAGGTGTTGACCAAAGTGCTTTACAGAGAAGATTTCTGGCATTTTTGCTTGAGCATTTATTGAAACAATCATCAAAATAGTTGCTTTAATTCATTTTCTGCCGATTGACTACTCAATTGACGGATCGTGTCAATAAAATCAAGGTCAAGTCAATGAATGAAGTTAATTCAGCTCAGTGGAATATGAATAAATCGCCCGCGCTGACGTACCGGTCCATATTAGCATATTGCAGATAAATCAGTTTCAATGACTATGTTAATCGATCCGTAACAAGAAACTGCAGCACAGAAAAGCCAAAGATTTATCTGAGATACTTCATACAAACATCATCATCTTATATACAGTGTCATCATTACGTTGAGAAAGGATTTCTCCCGCCGTTAAATTAGCTTTAGAAAAGCTAATTAAAAAAGATAATTTAAAAGAACTAATTTAAAAAAGGTAATTTAAGGGATCCTTGTCAAAAATGTTTGTTTATGTAAAAAGAAATATCTAACAATTTAATAATAATCCTATTTCCAAACTCAAATATCAAGATCAGTACTGGCCCCCTAAATCCAGACCGGTCACAGTGTGTACTGTATGTCAAGAAACCGGTGCTACAAACCTCCACATCCTCCTCTGCAGCCTCGGGCTCTGGCTCCGGCTCCAGGCTCACCGGTTGGTCACATATGATCACCTGACCCTCGGCAGCAGGCTCCAGTTGGTCAGGCGGACCCTCCGAGGTGTCCTCTGCGCTGGTCCCCTCTGCGGTGGACTGCGGGAGGTCGAAACTCTCGGGGATCAAAGGAGGCTGCAGGGGAGCTGGAGGCGGCGCAAAGGCTGCTGGGACGTCCTGACAGGGGCTGGGGTCAGTGTGAGGGGGGATGCCAGTGGAGGGGTCTGCGTCAGCCTGGGACATGATGATCTGGAAGAGAGGGGGTCTTTGATTTTATGTCTTTAATAATCTTTGTATCCTACAACCAAACACTGCCTACAACACATAAACACACTTTGGCTTAATTTTCCGAACAGAATGCCAATAAGTGCTGCAACTGATCATCACCTTCACTACAGATTAACCTGACAATATCTCTTCTTCGTTGCCTGTCACAACATCCCTGAGCCTCAGATGCCTTCAAGTGTCTTGTTTGTTCGACCACACAACACCACATCACACGTGCACATGACACCTCCTATATTAGCACAAGGTTCAAAGGCTCAAAACGAGCAGATCAGTAAATCAATTCCACTAACCCTCCAGTTCTCTGACGTTTTCTGAAGGAAATATTGCATCATTTCTGCATAAGTTGCATCAATAACTAAAATGAAATAATATACAGTCGTTCTGCTTTGATACATGCGATGCCTGATGCATGCTATGTGAGCTGTTTGAGGCCCAAATTGGAAGTATAGAACGTTGCAAAAGCGATCCCTGTGATGTAGCGCATCGTTGACTGATCGCTTCGTGGCTCAACACTACCATCTAGTGGTCACTTGCTGAACATGCATCCACGTGATTACTGTCATCGCCGTGTTTTCAAACACTCGCTGAAGTTTGTTTCCTGGCAGCAAAATGTCATTTAACGCGATGTTATCTCTCACAAACTGTATGTGCAAGGTGGTACATAAACCTGTTCACAATACCAAGATATATCTGTCTGCAAAAACAACAACAACAATAACAACAACAACAGTCTACAGGCTGCAAAACAAGACAGAATAAGTGTAACTGGACAATATTGTATTTTTATCTGGAATTTAAATGTAATATTTAATCCACAATCTGTCGAGACAGTCTTATAAACTGTAGCGTATTTTAGCTAATTACTCAAACCGATTCTATCGAAACAATCATTTCATGTTGATGACATCATTATATCATATCTCTTCTGCTTCTCTTCACACTATTTGAACACAATATTACACAATGACAACATACAGAACAACGTGAAGCAGACACTCAACAAAGACCGCTGTTCTGTTTGAAAACGAACATGACAATTAGGCTATTATTCGCATGTTTAGAGTCTTCATGACGTGTAATAGGCACATACAAACATATTAACAAAAGAGAAACTAATTAATAAAACTTCATCGCAGGGTTTGTTGCCCTTTTGTCGGTTGATTCGGGCAAAGGAAAGTTATAAAGCTCAAAGACCGTTGTGTCTTCGTGAAAGTGACAGTGCAGCTCACCCGTTTGGTACCAGCGGCTCTTCTTCCGCCCCGCCACGTCGGCAGGCCGGTAGCTGACTGCACCGAGGAGTATCAACAGACAAGATAGTTCACTGCCTCGGGAACAACTTTTGTCTACGGTTTTCAAAATCCTCTCGCACAGCCACCACACGTGTTTGGGCTAATAACTAAAGCTAATAACTACTTAATTCAGCTTGCTGATGAACCAATGAAGCCAATTTAAGACAAAGTTCTATAGAAACAGCCACATTATAACCATTGTTGTTTCTTGGGCTCCACACACTGAAACGGGATTCTAAAACTTCTTAGGGTCTGATAATGAAAAAGGTTTCCAATGTATTTGCCCCAACAACGGTAATTCATCTGCGTTGCTGCTGCTTTGCCAACGTGCTGCTCATGCTAACGGATCCTCTGAAGAAGACGCTGGGAGGCGTTAACGACTGTCTACGAAGACGGAAGTGGGTAGGATATAATCATCTTGTTTCGCCTGGATACTTATATTTGAGTAGAAAATACAATTAAATTGTCTCTTCGTCGCTTCACATAGATTGGAAAAGCTTAACAATGAGTGATATAGGATACAATTCAAGAAAACAACTGTTTAAAAACACACTAATGTGATATGTCATGGCTATTCTAGAACGCTGTTGTTCGTCACGTTTACAGTGGCTCGTTGGTCTAGGGGTATGATTCTCGCTTAGGGTGCGAGAGGTCCCGGGTTCAAATCCCGGACGAGCCCACACTTTTCCTGTTGAATCACATTGAAATGGAAACAATAGCCTGAACCTTATAGAATTTGTTGCATCACTTTCACTACAATATATAAAAGACTTCAATTTAAACTTATAAATTGTTCGTATTTCAAGTAGCTTTTTAGTGAGCTACTGATAAAATAAGCCAAGTGTGTTATGATATGCATGTAGTCGACAAATGGTGTATATTGTGAATATCACATATCAGAATTTTGAAAAAAGTCTCCAACTATTAACCTCTATTCTGTTTTTGCTGTTAAATTAATTATTCTAATAATATTATAAAGGTGGAGATGCTGCAGTGTGAGTATCTGTCTCTATTAGTATGTGCCTATGTATGTGTGTGTGTGTGTGTGTGTGTGTGTGTGTGTGTGTGTGTGTGTGTTTTAAACCCTGTGAAATGTGCTGAGATGGTGACCATGAATCTATTACCGCTATAATATTCATATTATATGATTAGGTTTTATTGTTGAGGGACAGGAGCCAAATAAGGGGGGATTTTGCAGCTTAAATAAACTGAAATTGAAGCTAAAGTCAGTGCAAAACCCAAAAATGTTTAACTTATAATAAACCGAGAAAAAGGGGCAATATTAAAATTTAAAAGGGGCAATATTAAAATTTGAGAAGCTTCCAGCAAATGTTTGGCACTTTTGCATGATTACTAATCTACTAACACCTCCATTAACAGTTTCAGTACAAACCCATACAGAATTTAAGACACAGCACTCCATTTTGCAAATATTATCAATAAGTTTATTAAGTGGTATGAATATTCTTTCTTAAAATAAAAGGCACAAATTTCAGATAGACCTGTACAGTTATATGTTCACAGTTTAACATGTTCCCTTTGAATTGCCAACGTTTAGATTAAAAAGAGATGGGGTTTATTATAGACAGAACATTATAGACATGTGTAATATCCATTATTATGAGTGTATCAAAATCATGCTTAATAAAAAACCTTTAATTGCCCTTTCAGTCTAATAATCAATTATAATATATATATATATATATATATATATTTATATATACACATATATATATGCATATATATAAAGTGCACATTGGAGACATGTACAAAGACACTATGAGCAAAACTATTTTCTTGTTGTGCTGTAAAAATATGACGGTGTAGTTGGAGCACATATGTGTTATGACCTCCTATTAAGAAAACTGTAGAAGACGTTATTTACTATGAAATTACATATATCCGGTGTGGCGGGCTGGAATGAACCTCATCTGCTCCTGAAAAACTAATGAACCCTGCTTTGCATTTTTCCCATAAACGTGTCATACATGATAAAAAAAGGCTACCATTGTGTCACAATAGTTCATATAGATACACAAACGCGATATAAGACATATCATTGCTTCTACCCTTAAACCAACAAAGTGGTGTCTTTTCCTCGCCAACACAATAATGCCCCTGTGCAGCAATGTTCACATTTCTGAATGAAAACAAACAATTCAAACACTTCACTCCGACAATGAATGAGACCCAGAGTCCCACTTTTCTTTTCTTTTTTCCAACCCAAATACCGAAAAAGCACACCAGACCGAGGCTGCTTTTATTAAGTGCATGTTTTCTTGCTGTGTGTGCCGTTAAACATGTATGCATGTATGTACAAGAGAAAGCGAGCAATGGCTACCTGTTTTTGTTTTTTGAGTTTTAGATTTTTTGAGTCACTCCATAATGTAAGTTAACAGAGGCAGGTGAGGTGTGTGATGTTTGGATGTGTCGGTCCATGAAGGAGGAGTTAGCATTAGCGTTACGTCAAAGGTAGCTGTGCCGTTGCGAGAAAGCTGACATATGTATGACACGATGCACAGTAGGTGAGATATGATACATTCTGGAGTTTCACATTATATTGGCCTAGCTAGCTAATAGCGCGTGTGTGTGTGTGTGTGTGTGTGTGTGTGTTTGAGTCCACAATCATTACTTGACTGCATGCAGAGAAATGAGAGCTGATGTCGTAATGAAGAAGCTTGAGTGTGCTCTATGTGGCTGAAACGCAGTTTGGTTCTGTGGCCAGAAGAGGCCTCTGCATCTCAGGCCAGCTGAGATGCAGAGGGCCTTCCACAGCCGATCCTTGTGCATTATTTTAAAGTCAAACCGAGCTGATGATAAGTCTGCAGGATGGTGAGTGATGGTTACATGATAAATAGACTCACGCCGGCTAACGTTCAGGGCCAATGGGGATAAAGGGTCTAAACTTGCACCCTGAGGAACGTTTCCCCACTCCCTAACAGAGTCCAACGTGTAAGCCAACTCAAGTCAAAGTGGTACAGTCCAACGTTGAAACCAGCACCGAGTTTCTTTTTTTCAAGCTGCACCCCCTTCCGGTTCTCACACCAGGAGGTGGCGCTTCTTGTGCAGAGCCAGGTGGTCGGAGCGGGAGAAGCTGCGTTCGCAGTCGGGGCACTGGAACGGCTTGACCCCTGTGTGCTTGCGGAAGTGTCTCGTCAGCTCGTCCGAACGGGCGAACTTCCACGTGCAGCCTTCCCACATGCACTTGTAGGGTTTCTCGCCTGCGCGTGGGGGGGAGGGAGAGAGAATGAAATGAGTGATGGTGAAGATAATGCGAATGCTTGGCCCAACCCCAACGTCCCCCCTTAAGCCTCAAACCCTGAACCCTCAGGGACTTACTAACGTCACCTGGTAAGTGGTTGAGTGTGAGAGACTGTGAGGGCTTGAAATGGTGTAAATAGAAATGGGAAAGCACTTTACTTCAACATATCACGTTCCTATGATAACGACAAAAAATAGGATGTACAATTGTGGGTATTTCATTTATACTTTTTGCTTCCTGATTTGAACTTCTTCCAGACTCTTTCCTCACAAGATGAGAGGTCATTTCATATAATATATTTATTCGTTTGTGTCAAAACAGCTTCAATGACAAAATAAAATATTTGATGAATAAATTAATAAATATTCTCTGATTTCATGTTTTTTTTGTTCAATCTTTAACCCTTAATGTTTCCGAGTAAATTTAACATTCCAGGCTGAACACACCTGTACCGTCCTCTTTTACGTCTCCATGCTTCCACTGGTTACCCTGTGTTTAACGTCACATTGCAATGAATTGTGGGTAATTCCCTTGGGCAAAGTCAGCATCTAATGCTGACTTACGGAAAGGGTTCATAGAGGGCTCAACATGTCTGCCAGAGAGCCTCAAACACTCGATGATCTGACAGTGGGACAGAACTAAACCCTCACGGACTCTGCGGGAGCACGCCTCAAGGTCGAATGAGTCCGTTAGGGTGGAGAATGGGATTGGGCCTTTAAAGTCCAGCGTGTGTGTGCGTGTGCCTCTTACCGGTGTGTGTCCTGCGGTGCGCTTTGAGGTGGGAGCTCTTGGTGTACACTTTGTTGCAGCCGTTGAAGTCGCAGCAGTGGATTCGCCGCTTTTTCAGCGTGTCCGGAGACTCGACAGGGGGAGGATGCTTGGCGCCCGAATGAACTATGACGGATGGGTTGTTGCACCTGAGAGACACACAGAGGAGAGCAGTTGTTAGAGTCCTCTTTCTTTATCTGATTTGACCAGGAGAGGGCGGCATGATGTTGAACTCTAATCTGATGCAAGTTTAATTTGGTTGCGACGGCTCCTCCAACGCAATAAGAAACTACTACCGGTCAGGAAGTTGAAACCACTGAACCGTTCCAACGATTCGTTTGCTGGAATTTGACGCCACGGATGCTGAAAGTGGGGGGAAAACGAGCTCCAGAAGAAGTCGAAAAACTGTGAAATAGTAGATGCAACTTTGCAACACTCTCGTGCCCGGCTCCGACGAGCACAAGGAGATTAGGGTTCTAATACCTCGTGCGTGTGAGAAAAGCTTTTCTGTGAAACGATAAGAGTTCAGAAGAGAATGGAGCAGAAAAGCGACATTTTCAAGTGTTTTATAGTCAAAAAGAAAACAAGAAGGATTTGTCTTTCTGCACCATCATTAAAGTGTGTGTGTGT